AAAGAGGGAGGAGAAAGCCGCGAGAAAATTGCAATCTGAAAACAAGTTAATGAGACCACTTTTTCCCCCGAGAAGGTGGTTTTTAATTATTTCTGGAGTGCCACGAGACCTTTACGTGGCCTTTGGGCTTTCTCTGCGTGCGTTTTCTTGCCACGGTCCCCTATGGGTGTTTACCCACCAAGAGCAATGCCAGATTTGTTAGGAAACCGGGCTTGTGGCTTCTCTACTTCTTTCTCTCTGCTTTTTTGTGTGTGGGATTCCCCCACCAAAAGAACCACCGGAGAAAATGACAGGTCTTCCCGAGGTGTTAAACGCCGCTATTGGCACTTGGGTCAGTACAAATTTCCTCTCTCCCAGCCCTCCCCGAAGCCCGGCATCCTTTGTTTTATTTAGTTAAATAAATGATTTGTGTGCGTGGCCTAGGAGCAATGGGGAAAAAAAAAAAAACCCACACACAACTTACTACCTGTTATGTTATTTTCTGAGCATCTCTCCTGTGTATCCTGCTGACAGACTGCCTTTCTTCTGAGGCACACAATTTCACGGGCATTGCGGGAAACCCCCCCCTTTTTTTTTTGTATTCGTCGGACTTCCCCGCCTTGCTCCGTCTGCAAAGGCAGAAACAAAAGACGGTTATTTGCCCTGTCGGCTTCCTTTCCCCGTGGTGTTTGTGGGGCGAGGGCACACACGCAGTAGCCCCTAGGAAAGTGCCCTTGGTTAAAATCACCTGCTCTGACGGAGCTTTGCAAACCTGGAGGCTGGGGGCCGAGATCTCCCTCCACAGAGCTGTAGGCCTAGTTTTCACAAATGGGAGGAAAAATAAACGCTGGCCACTGCGGAAGATACATGTTTTGGAAAAACAGGACGTAGCTCGAGATGAGGAAAAAGGAAGAGTAATTTTGCAGGATGCTCTGTGAAGTCGATGAGGTGTATAAGGATATCGTTCGTTCTTAGCTCTGGGATGGGTCTGATTTAAATTGAAGGAGCCAGGTGGTTTCAGGTGTTTCTTTGTGCGCAGCAGGTCGTGCTCTCATGTACGTCTGAGTCACGCGTGCTTTCGTGCTTGGAAAAGTCACCATAAGGCGACGGCGGCGGCTGCTGCTCTTAATTGTATTAAATCTGCAATGCTGCAAGGGAAGGAGGAGGACTCTGTTGTAGCTTGGGCACCCATGACGCTGTCAGCTGGTGGTAGGGTGTTGTGTTGCGCGGTGGCTGTAGAAGTCAGGAGGGTCATAATTTGATGGACGTGTATGAGTACCACTTCGAGGAATAGGTTTGTAGCTTGCCAGCTGAACAGAGTCGTTGCGGTGAGTAAGCGTGCGCTGACTCATTGGGGTGTTTTGGAGCGACTTCTCTGGCCGTCACACTTCTAAAACCGAGCTCCTCGCGAAGAGCAGAAGTGAGCTAAGCCTGCAGATTTGGTCCACCGTCTGAGCTGGACACCTCCATGCCTCGGAGTTCGAGCTCCAGCACCCACGCACGGTGAGAAGGAAACCGTTGCCGGAGGTGGGGCGGTTAATTTGACCACCAGCGAAGAGGAGGCTGCCCTCCACCACCCGCGTGCTCCTTTCTCTTAAGAACTTCCTGCCATCCCGACTTTCCATTTTTCAGTCCAGGAAGAAATGTATTTTTGCG